GTGTGTACAGATGTCTTAGCATTTGTAGTGGTCTTTAAAATTGTAGGAAAATTCCGCTCATTGGTTTTGGGTGGAGAGGGAAGATGTAAGTTTCATGTATTGGCATGTCTCATGAATGAGCCCCAGTTCTTCCAGTCTCCCGCTTCAAATTTAGTGCTGCCAGACCAAGTCTGGCTTCTTCTACGTGCAATGGCCTTGTGGGGTCCTAACGTAACACACACTCAACATGCTGTGCGCTACCGGGCATTGTGTACAATGTACATATTTAGCGAGGTGCGCTGAAACACATGCATTGAGGTGTGCTGGCAAGGTGCCTGGGTGTCATTAAAATTGAAGGGCACTGAGCGCTACCCCAGCAAATGGGCATAAAGCTAGTCTAAAAGTTAGGCTTTGAGGTTAGGTTGAGGGACAACTTTAAGGTTAAAGTGTCAGGTTGAAACTATCATACAGACTAAGGAAGAGGTGAGTGGAGCATGTAAACTACGCAAATCCTTCACCAATCATCTCTCATCCAACCGAGAGTCGTAGATTTGGCCATTTAAATTTGTATGGGGTCAACACCTAGCAAAGAGAGGAGATGGTATTTGGTCATGGGTCTCCTGGGTCCATCACACTGGTACAGGCCAAACAGAGACCAATGACAAGGAGAACATGCCATTTAGAACGTGTATTCTCCTGCCCCTCCAAGTTGGAACTGATACATGGAAAAGCCATATTAAACATCATCCCCACCACTCAAAGCCACTGAGCGGAGTTCCTTTTTAAACACAAATCCTGGAAATAAAGGACAAAATAACTTGAGCGTTACAATGCAACTGTTTTTCAATAGCTGACAGCACCACATAAGCGGAAAAGCCCTTACAGAAAACGACTTACTGTAAAGCTTAAAGATAATCAGGTTGGAAACGAAAGACGCTCTGGGGTTCCAAAGAAGTTCTGCGCCTTTCAAGAAAGATAACAAACTGTCCTAATGTAAAAAAATTAAAGGGTAAGCGCACCCAAAAGTGATAATATCTTG